TTGAGGGACCATGACACAACTCTAACCCACCACAGGACCCAAAGATTGAGGGACCATGACTTAGATAATTTTCAAGACTCAAAGTGTCACATTTTAGGTGAAGCAAAAAATTCCACTGAACTTTAATAATGTGGTAGAATCCAGAAATTAAAGCATGATTTTAGTTATGGTGCATTTCAGGAATTTACACTCAAGGCTGGGAGGAGACTGTTCCCCAAAGAGTTTCCATAAATAAAAAATATATATAATTTTATTCAACATGGAGAAGAACTTTTGATGTTTCTCACCCAAAATGACACCAAATCCAACTGGCCTGGGGAAGAGACCAACTTCTCATCATGTGAACATGACCTGGAGTGTGTTGCCCCTCTGGGATCTCCTGTAGAGGCACTGAAGCTCTATTCTTCTGCAGGTCACAAACTAGAGATGAAGCCGGAGGCACGTGTCACCTGCCAGGTGTTGCTGACAGTGCTATTCACTGCTCTGCTCCTCACAGCCATCACTTTTGCAGGTGAATGTCGAGATTTTAGTCCCACAGAGAAAGTCTCTGAGATAATTTGGGTTGCTGTGTATGTACCAGATCTACTTCCATGCTCCCAGGGAAGACACGGCCTACCCAAGCTGCTCTCCTCTCTGGGAGAGTGACATTTCTGAACAGCCTTTCTACAGAAGACCAAACCCATCACCTTGGGGCTGATGTCATCTAGAAACCCTTGGAAAATCAACAGAAAGTGTCATTTCATGGGTACAGTCACTCAAAAGTATTGCTTTCAGAGAAGTAGCCTAAAGATGTTGGCATGAGTCCCACCAAGTCAAGAAATCTGCAGGAATAAGATACTTTTTTGTACCATTTTCACTACTTACTTTTGCATTAATGACACAGAGCAACATCCAAGGCTGTGTTTATGGACAAGGCTATTCTGGAATTCCTTTTAAAACTGTGGGTCTTTTGAAGGCTACCACTCTGTTTCCTTCTTTGAAGGTGTAGCACCCATGTTTCTTGTCCAACACCACTTGCTTTGCCATGATTTGAGCTTGTTTTCTCCCAGGATTTCTCTTGGTATCTTAAATTTTCTTTTTGCCCACTGTTGAGGCAGATGCAAGGCTTTTGGAGGTCATGGGGTGGAGGATGACTTCCCCAACCCAGAGAAGCAAGGGGAAGCTGCTGCTCCTTAATGCTATTCTATTTTTAATGACAGTGCAGGCTTTTCAGCCTCGTCCCCAGCCCTGCTTTCGGTGTCCCTTTGACTGGATTGGGTACAGAGGAAAATGCTACTATTTTTCGGAGGCTGAGGGGAACTGGACATCCAGCCAGGACAACTGCTCGGCACTTGGTGCTTCCTTGGCCATGCTGGACAACATGGAGGACTTGGTAAGGAGACATGAGGACATGCTTAACATGGAGAAAAAACCCCAAACCAATGTATTGGACACCTTTTGGTTTCTTTGACTGCTCTTCCAGGATCTTCCTTGGACATCTGGGGTGAGAAGTTGGGGAAAAAGGTTTCTTGAGGGTAGGTCATCATGGGTCTCATATTCCTCACTGAAGCAAATTCCTGCAAGAATTGTAGCAATAAACCCCCTTTTCTAGATGACGCTTTTTGGCAGCAAATTCATAGGTTCAAGCCCCAGAGAAACCCTAAAGGAGCAGGGACACCTGGTAAAATAGAGACTTCTGGTTGGAAGGAGGTAAAACCCTTTGGTTTTCCTCTTTTTCAGAGTTTCATGATGAGATATAAAGGCATCTCAGAACACTGGATTGGACTTTTGCGGGAAGATGAGGAGCAGCCATGGCAATGGGTGAACCGTTCACATTTATCTCACCTGTGAGTCTGTGTTTTTCATCATTACATTGTTAGTTGGTGTTTATTCAGCCACAAAACGTGCATTTCTTCTGGCACTTGATATGAATCCAGAGGTAGCAATGGGATAATGTTTGGAAAGTGCAACACTGCATCCAGAACTGGTCTTTGTTTTTCCCTTTGACCTGAGATGTGGGTTTTGGTGAGAAAATACTGAGTTTAGATTTTTAATTTTTTCTTGCAAAGCTTTGGGTTTCTTATTAGAAATAGAACAAAATCAGCCTCGGTACTGGCATAATGATTCTGAAATATATATTGATATTTTGGCTTGTTGATGCTCACAAGGATGCATGAGAAACAAAGCGG